ATTAAAAAGTTTTTACTTTTTATGCTCAAAAAACGCCATCCGTGGCGCCAATCCGGTGGCGGGGCAGTGTGTGTGCGCGCGCGCCCGAGGCTGTGTGTCTCCGGACCGTGCTCTCTCGGGCTCCATGCTTATGTGTTTAAAAATCTGTTAAACCATATTAAAATTGTTTAGTTAAACTTGTGCTTTTGTAACGTTCAGTATGGCCGGAAATACAAGCTGCATGCCTTGGGGCAAAACTTTATTTCGATTTATATGCATTTGTAGATTTAGAATAAAACTCATAGTCAAAAAAAAACTCTCGCCGATCCCCTAACCCTCCTTAGACACATAAGCAGGGAAAACTCCTTAAAAAGCCCTCCGTGTTTTCTCCAAAACCCTAGAATAACTTGTTAGGTACCCCCTCTATTCCCAAAACCTTATATTCAAAAACAGGGGAAAAATCCTTAGTCTTTTTTCTTTAAAACCATCCCTCTCAGCTACCTCTAAAATTCTACGCAGAGTCTAAGTTCTACCTCACTCTTAATCGCACCGACTCGCAACCGCTTCCAGAGCACAATTTGTCCTGTTTGTTCGCTCCCCGCTCTGCTCCCGAATGCTGCTTACCTCGTTTGAAAATTTCTGCCGGAGACCAACTCGGCCTGATTCGCCCCGCTGCCAATCACATAACAATGGCACGGCTCCCTTCGCACTCCGGTTAGCCAATCTGCTGCAGGTCCGATTTTTATGATCTCCCGCTGAGGTTAAGACTGCCGTCGAGCTCCCAGAAGACCTCTGCCTTCAGCCATATCAACAACTGGCGCCGCTCCGCGTCTCTTTCCTTATCCGCATATTACTCTAACTACATTTTCGCATTTTCCTTTTTACCATTCTGTCAAGAAAGCTTTTTCATCTTCAAAAGCCATGCAAATAGGCTCTGTAACACTTGGAATACACTTTTTTAAAAAATATATAAGCTTGCCTCTAACACTCAGAGCTAAAAAGTGCGTTTGTACACTAAACTATAGCAGCAATCATGGCCTCATCAGGTACCTCATTTTTCTCACTCTTGTTCATATAATGTTTATATTTTACTGTTTTTCCCCTTTGTAAATACTCGATGTTATTTCTTTTCAGACTCTGAGATAAGCGTGCTCAACTCGTCTCTTTTTGGTTCTCTCGATCGAATTGGTAGGTTTGGTTCATTCTTGTTCTCCCTCTTAACAGCTAATTGTACA